ATTATGGGTTATTTATTTAATTATTGATGTACATCTTACAACGCCATAAGTGGTAGTAAAAAGTAAGAGGGTGCTATATTAATGCACAAACTAATAATCACAGAATTTAATAAAAAACTAACGTAGAAATAGCGTTGAAAGTGGTACTTATCAATCAAACTTACTTCTCTGACTGCAGTCAACGGTAATAAAGGACCTTTATTGTCCCGTTCTCGTTTAAAATAGTTTATCAGGAAAGCTACAAGCTCTTTGCTTTGACTGTTTAAATGCTTCGTCATATTTTCAACACACAATTTCAAGAAATGCAATACAAAAACTCGAAAATTTAGTTCTTAAAAGAACTGTTTGTGCTTAAAAGTACTCTTTTAAAAAAAGACTATGAAAATAGACAAAAAACGAGAATTACTCACAAAGATTCAACAACAACACGATATTATACAAAATAATGACTGACATTAGGATAATTGTCAAATAATAAACGACAATCTTGCTGAAAACGGCGCAATGTGACCAATATTGCGATAACAAAATTCGGTTTAAACGTTTAAGGGTTTAAACTAATTGTTGCAGCTTCAATCTAAATAAAATATCTGTTACAATCATTTGCTCTATAAAGTAAAATGAAGAGCTGCTCGGTATCTTAAATTATACAACAAATTTAAACCAAAATTTTTTTTAGTTTTGCCAAAATTTCATTTAGTCAGGTTTATAGACTTTAGTGTCAATGTCGATATTATTATTCAACCATTTTCAATTATGGTGTAGCCTCCTTCACATATTTAGATACGCTCTTTATAGTCGAGCCCATTGTTGTCTATTGTGCGGGCCCAAATTATCCCTGCTTTCCTACTATCATAGTCCCATCTCAAGTTTGGTCTTGCTCTAGGTCTTATAATTCCTCGTGGGTAACATGCTGTAATTTTTGTGGTCTATCTGTTGTTTGTCCTTCTTGCCAGGGGCGCTATTCTGTAAAATCGTCGGTATCGGTAAGTTACAACAGCTCTCGATACGTATTTGTATATAGCGTATATAGTAAAAATGGGTGTTAATTATTGTTGTCATAGTTACCAATCGGTCCCATGGCAGATATCGCAAATTTGTACCGACAAAAATCGGTATCTCTCCCGTGCCCTTGTTAACCTCACGGTAGAAATACCGAGAGTCGTCGGTACAAATTCAGGATATCTGCCATAGGGCCGATCGGTAACTATGACAACAACAATCAACACGACGCTCATTGGCCGTACGTACCGATAGCTGTCGGTAACTTACCGATACCGACGATTGTACAGAATAGCGGTCCAGGTGTCCTGCCCATTGCCACTTGAGGGATTTGATTCTGTTGATGACATCTATTACCTGGGTCTTTTCTCGTATCCATTCATTCTTTTACGGTCTCTCTTGGATATTCCCAGCATATTTCGTTCCATTGAGCATTGTGCGACCTGCAGTTACTTTATGTTGTCCGTTTTAAGTGTCCAGGTTTCGCATGCATAAGTCATCACTGGTAGTATACATTGGTCGAATGTTTTCTTCTTTAGATACAGTGGCATTCTAGATTTGAATGCGATTGAGTTTCTTCCATAAATACTGCATGTCAACTTAATTCTTCTGTTGATTTCTAGTAGTAAAGATCCCGAGCTGTGTATTAGTTGTCTCAAATATGCATTCTTCTAGTATTTCCAGTGCTGTGTTATTTATTTCAATGTATTTTCTATCTACTAGTTTGTCAACTACTTATTGTCATATTAACATTGACCGTATATTAATTGAAATCATAAAGTACAGGGTGCTCCATTTTCGTGTATATTACAGGTTTTCTCGCTTACGACTAGAGATACATAGATGCGGCTTTTATATAACTGTGCTACATTTTTCTGAAACTAAAGATACACACAGATTTGTCCTAGCCCACTTAGTTTCTGAACTACAGGGCGAATTTGAAATTTTTGCCATTTTTCGACTCCCTTCATATTTCGGTTATCTTATAACTTATCGAAAAGGTGTAAACTGAGTCCTATAGTGTTTTTTTACGTAGAATCCAGTGGCATAACTAGTTTTTTACTGGAGCTGTCATTTTCAAAATATGTGTCTTGAGTTTTAAGTTTCAGGTTTTTTAGATGACATACCCTGTATATTATTTTTTCTATTTTATATACCTGTATTATTAGTTTTCTAAAAATATACTCCTAACATATACTTATTTTGTGTATTGTAAATCTTGAGAACTGTAAATCCTTTTGCAAGTATTACCCTGTTTTTCTTTTAAAAATTTGATATCTTAGTCAGAGGGAGAAAGTGCAATAAGAAAAACTAGCAGCTCAATATCTTGTCCTACTCTAGCAGTTGTATCGCAATTATTAGATTTTTCTATAGCAGTTTGAATTATTAATAAATCGGCGTCTGCCGCAGCAACAAATACTTCTATACCTTCTTTCCTAAATTTGTTTACTAGTTCTGTGATTAAACGTTCTTTGTTAAACAAATTACTTAGGAAGTTCTGCTGAGTTTCAGATACAACAGTATTCTCGTCAAATATAATTTGAGGACAGCTTCTTTGAAGTAGCCGCCTCTGTCGTTCTTGGCTCTTCGTGCTGTTTGCATTTTCCATATAATCATCGAACACGACAGTTACTCTATTCCCATAATATTTTTTAATGTAACTAACGTAAGCGTTGTCAACAATGTTAAATGTCCCTTTTTTTGGCCATATTACGCGGCAAAGCAAATATTTTCTATCATGACAAACTCGCTGTTTTCAAAAATATGGTCTCGTTCTGGAACTTTATAAGAGAAAGAGGTACTGAAGCTAATTTGAAACTAAAGCACTTTTTAACTCCTGGCTAGAATGAACGGTGCAAATAATTCTTTGAAATAGTAATGTTGAGTCAACTTGAACATCATTGCCATTAATTTTCATTGTATTGCTCAAACTAGATATCGGCTTTACACGATTTACACGACATACTTTTAAACTTTTAAATAAAATCCCATCTTTAACGTTTGATAATTAGTGGATTAGGTCTACAGGGGATACCACTTTAAAAAAACGCATCAAATGCTTTACCTCTAGGGTGATGTGGAAATAAGTACAAATCGCCCTTTTTATAGGAGTAGAGGAGTGTGAGAGAAGAACGTATATTAAAATTCTAAGTATAATTTAGTGGTTACTGCTTTTTGTTAGCGTTAAACATTAAACTTTAAATTAGATTGAACTGCAGATAATGCTAGTCATAACCAACCCTTATACTTGCGCCATATTTGCCACTTTATTATTAACTTAAAAAAAATGTAATTATCCTTTTGATAGAGAATTTTATGAAGAACAATTTTCTATATAAGTATTTTTGTCGAGAATTGCACCATTGCCGAGATTATCTAAAAAAACTCAAAATGGGGGGTAGAAACGATGTCCTGGGAGATGACGCACACTATTTAGGGGTGGGAACTTTTCAGTTTATCAATACATATGATATCCTGATTATTATTTCCACCAATTTTGAAAACTTTATGAATTTTGTCGAATATATCGCAATTTGAGCCATAATATTACTGAACTATTTGTAGCATCTTTAGTTTCATAAAAAAGTAGTACAGAGATGTAAAGTCCGCATCTTTGTATTCCTACTCATAAGCAAAATGTAACACACCGAGATGTAAATCCTGTAAAACACACGGAACTGGAACACCTTGTACACAAATTTAAGCTGAAATATTTTGGATACTGTAAACTCTTTGGCTTGAGTAAACAGCCAATATTCAATCACTTCAATCTACATGGCTGTCAAAATACCTAACTATAAATTCCACTGTAGACAATTTATAAGAAAATCTCTCAATCATTAAACTAGCGTCTCTAAATTGTTTTCTACCCACTCTTACCGAGAACTGTCTCCTCTAAAGCGAGTAATATTTCAATCGTCGACGACCATTCTCCGCGCAAAAGACCACGACTAATCCCAACGCTAGATTCGTCAAGTGCCAATTACACCGCAACTAAACTCCTCAAAACATTAATTATTGCGAATCGTATTGACAGATTCCGTCCCTGTTTACGAAATAATTAATATCTGAGCGAACCTGGATAGGCTGGATAGAGGAGAATAACGGAAAGCATGAGAATCAGATGCACAATTTAATTGTCTATCAAACTGTATCATACCATTTTTTACCTATCTCTTCAAGTTTCCGTAGAAAATGTATTTTCTTATAACTTAGACCTCATTTATCAATTGGACCATGGAATATTTACATTTTGGTTTATTTTTAAAAATGTAACAAATTTTTAAAGATAATAATATTCTCGATATAGTTCATTTATTTCGTTAAAAAATTTTAAAAAAAATGTCTAAATATTTGTTAAAGAGGACCAATTAATATGATTCCAGTATTCAAACTACATTAATTGACTCTTTGCGTTGATTAATAATAATTGCTTGAAATATTAAAAAACTGAATTTTGTATGTGTATTAGACAGTGTGATAAAAAGTAACACCTTAAAAGCTTTATTTCATTTTTTGACGAATGCTTATTTAAAACAGCTCATTTTCATAATTTATTATTATATTGATTTCTGATTCAAATCCACACTTACTTAGAATAATTTATTAACTAACACAATTAAGTATAGTAGTATTAGTAATTAATTAATATTTGGGCGGAAATATATAATGGTGGTATATTTAATTAATGATATACTCTTTTATAGAGATTTAAATAGTTTTGTTTTTGTATACAAATAGGCTAGTAATATTATCGTTTTTGGTTTGGTTTGGTTGCAGCTCTAAGGGTCCTTCAACGAACTCAAAACTTACAATTTGCAAAAATCTAATCGTTTAGATACAATACTCCGTGTCATATGTGATGAACCACCCTGTATATACATCTGACCGAGGCGTAAGAGTTCAGAGACTATGTCAGTTCAAGAAATTTCTCTCAGATAGTTACTTTTTTTGTAAAAATAAAGTTTGTAGTTCTGTAAAATAAATTACCTTTTCAGGTTAATTGTGAGACCAATCCACGTGTTTTACTGCCAGGACCAGAAAAGTTTCTCTATGTAAAAATTGGAGGTGTTATTTTGGAGCATTCAAGTAGATGGAGCAACAACAATACGCTAAGGTAAGAATTATGAGAAAAGTTTATTTATAAATCTTTTGAAGCTGCATATTTGGACTATGCTTGTTTAACAGGAACCAAGTGCCAAATTGAACCATAGCCAATGAACCATATGACATGTCAGAAAACTGCAAATTTCAAATTTCTATAATGGGAACCGGAGGAATATTTCCGTTTACATCATTCAAATTGTCACTTGGAACCCTTTACATTTTATAAATTTTATAGACGTGTTGTTATATGGTGTGTTCAATCATAGTTGTTTGATGGTTTTTCATTTATTAAGATCCAAGCGAATATTACAAGCATCGTACTGGAGCAAACCAATAATTTTAAAAAGCAAAAGATTAAATAAAGAGAACCATTTTCTAAATATACATTCTTTTAAATAGAACCAGATGCTTTTTAGCGTTTGGTTCCATCCAAAAACTTACAACTTATGATTGGTTATTTATTCAAAAGGTACTACCAATAGCCAATAATAGTGGACTGGGGTAAAAGATGACCTGTCTATCAACACTCAACACCCAATCCAAAAATTTGAAGATCGGTCAACACATATTTTACTAAAGCATTCTCATTTTAATCTCCGATATCTCAAAACTTCAAATTGGCGCTTGGTATTGTTTAAATAAAAATTGTTATTATCTTACCGACAATATAATAAGATTAATACCACAGCCGAATAATAGAGAGACCAAATAATAAAGGGTGATGCATCGCTCCGAAACAAGCTCCATTTAAACGGAATCTTCAATGAGATCTTCAATCTTTTTCAAAATTTGTGGACTGTAGAATTAAACATTTTAAAAATATTTTTGTGATATAAAATATATGATAAGTCGAGCTTAGTTTAAAGCTAAACCTACTATAGATTATTATTCAAGAAATCTGTACAACAATATCATAGTAGTTTTTGAAATACGATAATTAAATCTTCTAAGCATTTAAAGTTCTCCCCATAAAAATCGCAAATTATTGATGAGCTTGATTTCTGGCATCATTTGGTACAGGGTGAATTTTAAATAAGTGCAAATATTTTTAGGGGCAGTAGGTATATTCGACACCAGAAACACGATTATGAGTTTCTTTCGCAAAAAATATTTTGAAAATTTATTATTAAAAAAAATAGATTTTTTTAGCGTTTAATTTAAATCTTAAATATTTCTTTTTTATTTAGATCTATATCAAGCACTGGCCAATCGTGTAAAACTGCCAACCGAATAGTTATTCATACAGCTTTATATACAGCTCTCATATGTCCAGAACCAACAATTTCAAGGGATAAAATGGTGGAGGTATTCTCGGAAGGTTGGAATATAAAAGGTAAATAAATCTCTATTTTTAATTTCCAAACAGCCAAAATTGATAAAATAAATTCGAATGGAATTGTAAGAATTCGATGGATATTGTATCAGAATTACATACAGGGTGCGCCTGAAAAGTGGCTTACCCCTATAACATTTTTATTTTTTTAGATAAAAAAAACCAGATTTGGTATGTTAGCATATGACATAAATTAGGATTAATTGACCTATTCAACTGTTTTTGGTCAGTCCCTGTCTTACCGGAAATGACTAGAACTTTTGATTTTTAAGGGAAACCCTCGGTATTTTTTTACTTTATTCGATAGAAAATTACACCACAGATGACACTTTGAATAAAATTACATATCATATGTCAACTTTGATGAAACTTTTTTATCTTTTATGTCCCGCCACAGGCACCGTCACGTCGACCCTAACCTAACCACCACGGTATAGGCAAAGAGTAGATAAGACAAGAGACGACAGTGAACAAAGAAGTCGAATTTCGCGAGAGAAAATAAATTAATAATATAAGAAAGATATAAGTAACGTATGTTAATACGGAAATGTAAATTTTATTTTGGGTTGGTTTAGATTCTTTTTTCGCAATGTACTGATAATATCAAAGAAACAGAATGACTAAGTTGATCGATTTAAACAGATAAAATCTCAAAATCTGACAACGGCGTATTTTATCTAATCTAACCTATGATTTTTGACTTGTGTCTAGCCCTAGCAGGCAACTGTTAAGCCCGACCAATCACGTTAGAGTTTTTGACAAACACAAATGAATTAACACACTCCAAATAACCACGCTAACCAACCTGATTGGTCAAGTTTAATAGTTGACTGCTAGGACTAGACACTTCTGATTTTTGGACGCTAATCAGCTGTGCTAATCAGGCTTAAACATAAACAAATCTGATTAGTTGTTTTCTTGCATTTTTGCCTTTTTAAAGTGTGTTTTCAGAGTTTTTCGATATATTATCATTTTGTGAGTTTTTAAGATTTAATTTTAGTATTGTTTTTGTTGCGTACTAATTTGTAAATATTGTTAAATATGAATACTGAACAGGACACGAGTAGCAGGAAAAGACGAGATGGTGGCAATGTCTGTGCTTATAAAGACTGCAAAAATAGGTCTTATTCTTCGACAAACATAATATTTCACTCTTTTCCAAAGGATCCTGAAAAGTATTTTTACAGAAATATACTATATAATTATGTTATTAAACTAAATGTAATCCATAGATCGAAGACATGTTTAGAAGCTTGTAATATATTTTTTAAAAAAAAATTGAGCAACTCTATTTTTTTTTGTACATAAACTCCACATTGTGATTTTACACTTGTTCAAGTCCATCTTGTTTACCAACGATATACAAAATATTGCTTTTATTATCTTTATTCCCCGACAAATATGTTTCTAATTATAATTTATTTTATATAATATTTAGAAAACTCATTTTTTTTTCGTTTCTATTTATTTCTTTACCCATACAGTAACTATTTATAAGCTATACAGGCAAGTTTTAATAATAGTCTGTTTCAAATTTCCCGCAAAAAAATTACGAAAATTTAAAGGGACAAGCGAGACGAGGTCACTCTCCCCACCACTCAAACATGAAAGGTACCGCGCGAACTGTCGTCTCTTGTCTTATCTAATCTTTGGTATAGGTAGGTATATTAATAAATGGCCAACAATGAATTAACATATGTATATAAATGTTTTTTATTGATTTTTTTAAACTATAATCTATTTATATATAAAATTCTCATGTCACAGTTCATCCAAAATAAGAGTGGTCCACTCCAAATTTTCTTTTTACTTATTGGACAAAATTTTTTATTTTTATTTTTTATGATGCGGCATTAAAAATACATACAACCCAAACTTTTCACTCTTCTACTATCATCCCCTATTTTTTAATAGCGATAATAGTAATTCAATAAGCTTCAACCCCGTGAATAAAAATCACTTGTCCCATAAAAAATATGTACCTATGTGACAAAACAACGTTTGCAGGGTCAGCTATAGTGGCTAGTGTTTTTATAAATATCTATCATCGCCAGTCATTAGTGACCTCAATATGCTGTTCATGAAGATGAGGTTTCTTTACAGTAGAAGAAATTTACTATAGAAATAATTATATGTAGTGTACCTATTATTAATACGAATGTTATATCATATCTGCTTTCGTACAAAATACCATAATTCATTCATTAGTTCATCATATCAATAATTCTGTAATCAAAACACTTGGAAAATGTTCAATATTCGGTCAAATTTATGCTTCTGTTTTTATAGTGCTTCATAAAATCGAAAGTTCACGGTTCCATGGTGTAATGGTTAGCACTCTGGACTTTGAATCCAGCGATCCGAGTTCAAATCTCGGTGGAACCTAATTTTTTTTTATTTTTTTTTATTTGACTCCTCAATAAATTGAATCATTTTTATAAAGTTAACATAATTTTCTTAAACGGCTATTAAATAAAAATGGTACATTATATCAATATCAGAACTTTTTATACGGCTTTATTTTATATAGTATTCTGGAATATCATTTTTTCTTGAGTTTTGCGAGCAGAATAATTTACCGATGGAAATAAGGGGAGAAAAAAAGAAAATACGAAAAACGATCTCTTTAAAAATGCAAAGTCTACATCAAATTTATACAGTGTGAAAAGACAAGGAAGAGAAATGCTCGACAGCCAGCTATAGATAAAAGAAAAATTTAAATAAAACATCAATAAGAATATCGAAGTTCTCGTATGATGCGATACGGTAGAAGAAAAAATATTTTTTTGTTTGAGTTGTAATGTTCTTTTTTTGATTAAATTTGTTTGGGGTGAATGTAACAATAAAAATTTATTGTCTTGAAGAAATATCAATGCATTTAAAATTATCAATTCTAATAACGAATAACAATAATATAACACCGTGGGATCGAAAATAACGGTGTGTAATTGTAGAAAGATTAAAATAGGATAGAAAGTCTCCAGACACACAAATCTATTTCCAAATTTTTCTCGAATTGTAAGCTTCACCGTTTAAAAAAAATATTTTTACTCAATATAAAAACCTTCTTAAAGCCAACTGGTCATTAAAAAATAAGGAAAAGTACGGGCCAAGTAAATAACGTCTAGGGCCTGACCTCGCCAAAATTATCATCGATTATCATTCCCCAGCCGTCTTTGACCCCGTTATTATTCGATCTTATGGTATAATAGTATACAGGGTGTTTCAAAAAGCATGTGCCATCTCTTATTGGGGGATTCCTCTCATTGGGGGATTCCTCTCATTTTTTCTATTAACATAAGTCCGATACTACCATGTTTCGTACCTACAGGGGGTTAAATTCTTTATCATTTTTCGATATATTTTAATTTTCTTCCAAGTACCTACTTTTAGCGTTGAGAATTAAATTTTGAGGGTAAAAGTTACTATAAGTGCCACATGTTTTAATGCTAAAAAAGTATTGCCATATTCACCAGGGATGTGCATATGGGTTGTCAGTGGAATATTTAAAAAAAATGTGCGCCACTGACTTATTTTCTCTTGTTTGCAAAGTTGTGCAGACCGTTAAATGCTGATTAAGAATTTTGATGGATATGATGGATACTATCAAGGAAGGTCTGCTACCTTTGAGATACCCACAGAATTATGGCACAGAATTATGGATTAAAAGTTGTCTCTTGATATTTTGTAGATTTCGGTATTTTTTGTCGAAACGCAAAAAACGCGAATTAATTATTAATTTGCCTTAATTAAATTCTAATGGCAACATTTAAAATAAAGTAATGTCATTAACTTGCCAAAATGCTAAATAAGTACTCCTTGATTCCCAATCACAAAATGTAAAAAAACTTTCTATAAACATGGGTGCGAAAATGCATAGTTTTAAAGTTACACGATGTTAAAACTTTTACAAAATAGGCATTTTGTGTAATGATCTTAAATACCATTAATTCTTTCGGGAATTTGCTGTATATCAGTGTTATGAATTTAAATAGAATTTAGTAATAAATTATTTATTTATTATAATTTTATTTTAATTTTAATATTATTAATTGTCATTAATAAAATTGCGCTTATCTCATCGAAGAGATTAGAATGGACAAAATAACAAGATACAACTTTTAATCGGCATTAAATGGCCTACAAACTTTTACTAATAAAAGAAAAAAAGTCAGCGGCGCACATGTTTTTTTAGAAAAAATATTCCAATGATAACCCATATGCACGTCTCTGGTGAATCTGTCGACCTATTTTTAGCATTAAAATATGTAGCACTCATAGTAATTTTACCTTCCTAATTTCACTCAAATCGCTAAAAGCACTTGGAAGAAAATTATGATAAATGGAAAAAAATGAAGACTTTAACCTCCTGTAGCTACCAGAATCGAACCCATGTTGAAATGAAAAATAAATTTTATTTTTACGTGAGGAATCTCCCTACGAGAGATTGCACATGTTTTTTTTTTTGAAACGCCCTGTATAAAGTCTGTACAAAGAATGGGGGTAGATTGAGGCACACGACATCCAAAAGAAGGCAGAAAATTCTATATATCTTTGAATAAAATGACAGACGGAAAAAATAACAAACAACAACCTGTCACTGTCAAGTACTTTCTCGTTGGACTATAACATAGTTTATTAAAAATTGTTATTATTCGTTAAAAAATTACATTAACATAATGTTCAAAATTATTAAAAAATATTACTCTACTTACTAAATAATCACGAATCTGCTAATCGGCAAACGATATTCTGGAAATTGCCGACATCGTCGTTCCAAACTTTTGCAATTTTCGTCGATAAAATCTGTCGCCTACTATACAGTATCCATCATTCACTATCAAATAGATATCTATAATTTAGAATAGATCTTTGCATAAATTGTGTAATACCACTTATAGTCTAAGAGCTGGCTAGATAAAAAACCTTATCATCGTTACATGGATAATTTTTCTTGTGAAGTATCCTTTTGTGTTGCCATTATGAAATAGTCATGTCTGCCAGCGCGATCCCGGGGCTTAAAGCGGGGGCGGCCAATTGAAAGGGTGAAATTTTGACACGAAAAATACTATAATGTACACGAGTAATAATTACCAAATAGCTTTTATTTATTACTAGCGTGTACCAGCGACTTCGTTCGCGTCGAATTAATCATTTGTAATGGCGATGATAAAGCAAAGCAAGAATTTCCATTAACATACAAACTGGATAAAATTTTCTCACATTTATGTCAGCATAAGAAAAACAATATGGCGATATTATTATATAACTTGGTAATATTTGAGGGGTAGTTTCATCTCGTTGGAATTTGACTTTCGAAAAATCCGTTTGCTAAAAATAAGCTTTTTACGTCAAGCAGTTTAAGCAGAATCGTGGTTAAGAAATATCCCAACTTTTTGGAACACCCTGTATGATTTTTTAAAAAATTTCAAGATATGTAAAAAATACAAATAAATTATGCTTGTCCAAGCGTTTTCCCGAAAGACTAACCGTTTTTTAAATAACAAATATTGTAATCATCCAAACCAAACCTCTACAACCCACAGTCAATCCGTTTGCCAAAAATCAGCTTTAAACGTCAAGCAGTTTCAGCAGAATCGTGATTACTCGATATGGTTATATTTTATGAAACACCCTGTATAAATTTATAAAAAATCTTAAAATATGTAAAACAACAAAATAAAATATACGTGTTTAAGAGTTGTTCCGAAAACCTCACCGGTTTTTAAATAAAAAAACATTTTAATATTTGAGGGATAGTTTCACCCCCTTAGAATTCGAGTTTCGAAAAATCCCTTCTTATCGAACCTCTACACCCTAAAGTCAATCTGTTTTTCAAAAATCAGCTGTTTACGTCAAGCACTTTAAGCAGGATCGTGATTAATCAGTGACCAGATTTTTCGAAACACCCTGTATACATTTTTAAAAAATCTTAAAATATGTAAAAAATAAAATAAAATATACGTGTTTAAGCGTTTTTTCGGAAACTTGACCGTTTTTTAAATAAAAAATATTGTAATATTTGAGGGGTGGTTTCACCCTCTTGGAACTGGAATTTCGAAAAATCCCTTCTTATCGAACCTCTACACCCTAGAATCAACCTGTATGCCAAAATTCAGCTTCTTACGTTGAGTGGTTTGAGCAGGATCGTGATTAATCAGTATGTCAGTCACTTAAGGATTTTATATATTAGTATAGATTAAGGAATTTGAAAAATTGTTGGCAGACATTTTTCTCGTGGCTAAAATGCTGGCAGACAACACGAAAGAGGCATGAATTTTTTTTCCGGAAGCCATAATTTTTAAAAAAAATATTAGCATTATTATGCATAGATGCATGCCGATTGGTGGAATGTCATATTTATTTATTTTAAATGCCGTATACAAAAGGGCAGACGAAAAGATCGTGGCTAAGTCAGCGACAGACAGTTATCAAAAGCGCGATATTACTCTCTACATGGTGAATCTGGAGTAATATCGCGCTTTCGATAACTGTCTGTCGCTGATTTAGCCACGATCTTTTTGTCTGCCCTTTTGTATACGGCTTTTAAAATAAATAAATATGGCATTCCACCAATCGGCATGCATGTATGCCTTAATTTGTTTTAAAAATTATGGCAATTTCCACTTATTTGGAAAAAAATTCATGCGAAGGGCTAAAATGTCTGTCAACAATTTTTCACGTTTCTTAATAATAAATAAAAGCTATTTGATAATTATAACTCGTGTACCTTATTGTGTCAAAGTTTCACCCTTTCGATTGGCCGCCCCCGCTTTAAGCCCCGGGATCGCGCTGGCAGACATGACTATTTCATAATGGCAACACAAAAGGATACTTCATAAAAAAATGGCCATGTAACGATGATAAGGTTTTTTATGTAGCCAGCTCTCCGTCTATTATAAGTTAGTAGTACGTCTGTAGTAATACCATAACGCAGTATCTGATCGGCATTCTCTGGCTAACATAGTTTATTTTCATTGGTGACACTAAAATATAAAAAAAATTTACTTCCATTGTCTTATTAGAAGTAAAAATGATACCTACATTTTGTGGTGAAGCTGTACTTTTCACGGACGAGCGTAGCCAGTACAAAATACCGTAACGGCGTCAAAGATGGCTGGGGAATGACAATGAATTGTAATTTTGGTTTGGATTTGAACGTCCTAAAACTTTAAGGGTGTTTCAAAAAGCACATGCCATCTCTCGTGGGGAGATTCTTAATGTAAAAATAAGATTTATTTTTTATATCAACATAGGTCCGATTCTGCTTTGTTTCCTAGCTACAGGGGGTTAAGGTCTTCATTTCTTTTCGATTTTTTTTTTAATTTCTTTCAAGTGCTTTTAGCGATTTAAATAAAAATTTGAGGGTACTATAAGTGCGACATATTTTAAAGCTAAAAAAGTGTCGACATATATACCAGAGGCGTCCATATAGGTTATCACTGGAATATTTTTCTAAAAAAACTGTGCGCCATTAACTTTTAATCGGTTTGCACAACTCTGGATAATCCACACTTTTTGGTACTAAATTATGTAACACTCATAGTAATTTTTACCTTCAAAATTTTATTCGAACCGTTAGAAGCACTTGGAAGAAAATTATAAAAAATCGAAAAAAATGAAGACTTTAACCCCCTATAGCTATAAAACAAAACAGAATCGGACTTATGTTGATATAAAAAATAAATCTTATTTTTATGTGAGGAATCTCCCCACGAGAGATGGCACATGTTTTTTGAGACGCTTAAAATAGGATAGAACATTTCCAGACATACAGGTCTATGTCCAAAAAAAATATTTTTTCTGAAATTTTAGACTACACAATTTAAAAATAATTTTTACTCAATAGAGAAATAAATTACAACCTTCTTAAGGCCAACTGGCAGTAAAGGCCATTAAAAAATAAAAAAAGTGTAAGGGCCCAGTAAGTGACGTTTAGATATTCTCTACTATGTGACATCGCCAAAATTTTAAATTACTTTTTGACTTTTTAAATTAAAAAAAAAGAATACCCTTTCGACTTTTTTCCTGAAATGTACCCGCCACAAAGGTATATAGTCTGTACAACGAGTGGATACATGAGAGTGACAGTTGTGTCTGATATTTTAATGCACACGTGAATTGTATTATCTGTCGAAATCTTCCCTCACTCATTGGACAGACAACAGACAATATTTAATACTTATGACAATCTTCGATTGTAAGTAATGAAGTTATTTTATATTTTTCCTGATGACACTGTATTTTATAGATAAAGAGATTACGAACATAAAAGATAACTTATTATTATTTGCTGTTCCAGGAAATGCCGAAAACGTCATAGGTCAATGGTCGTTGGACAGAGTGGATATTGACCGACTGGGCAAAGAATTATCGCGTACGATTATCGTTGAGTTTTATGGAAAGGAACCCGGAAGTTATCCCGTCATGTGGCTGGAATTATCCAAAAGGTCAGTGTGTTCAATGGTATCGTTAGATTTCTCAACACAATAGAAAGATAAAAAGGGTCTGAAAGTAGATATCATTGAAAGCCATGGAAGGATGTAGAAAGTTTATTTTTTATTTTATTTAATGTTATGTAACTTATCGTGGGTGAAGTTTTTACCAAAGAGAATTTTTTTTAGTACAAAATTAAGGTAATCGTAAATCTACACTTTTAGGCAATACACACGGTCAAATAGGCAGGATGCTACACTGCTTCTTTTGTATATTTTTTTAAGGAAATAACTATCCAAAATATTAATCTAAAAATCTTAATTAAAAAGACTAAATTTTAAGGCGCCCCTTTTTCGTGCCAGTAAGTGTATAATATGGTGTATAATTAACATAATATGATTGACAATAACAACAAATGATCAATTTAAGTACTTTTAATAATATTGGTTTTATATACACTTCCTCAATAAATTAACGCATCACAAAAAAATAACCAAACGTTTAAGTTAAGATTTTGTCAAAACCACTTATCCGATTTGGACGATTTTTTTTGAATGATAGGTTATTCTTTTCATAATGTTGCTATACTAACTGTATTTTGATAGGAACCCTTTTTATACTAATACCGGGTGTAGCAATTATAACGTGTTTTTTTAATAAAATTTGTGACACCCTGTAGAGTTATTCAGTTACAATATCAAGTTAAAATTGAAATCACATTTTAGCCTTATCTTTTTTTTTACATTTTGTTTATTATTTACTCCATTATCTTCCTTATTACACGAGAAACAACATTTTATAGGATGACATTGGTTTTAATTAACAATTTTCGATTTTACTCACTAAAGTAATTAGCAGGCTATGGAAAAACACGGATTACCAGTAAATGTCAAATAGAGATACTAGTTTCTGTGCAAACTTGTAGACCATTAGTATCTCTGAGCTGAGTTTGAAGGGTCCGAGCTGTTACGAAACGTTGTCTTAATGTTGAGAGTTTTAAAAAACGTTCCTGAATCGGATTGGTTCTTCGATTCCTGCCTTGTCCCGGCCTGCGACAATTACTCCCAGTATCTCTATACCGTTGTATAACTCGTGAAATGGTTGAGTGAGTTACATTAAATCGTTCACCAATTCTTCGGTAGCTCCAACCTTCCTCCGACAATATTAATCTTTGAGCACATTCTTCGCCAGTAAGATTTCTTGTTTCACGTGCACGTTGCATATTTTTGATATAATAAAAGGACGAAAACGACTAACACTGACAACAAGCATCTCTATTTGACATTTACTGGTAATCCGTGTTTTTCCATAGCCTGCTACTTACTGTAGTGAGTAAAATGGAAAAATGTAAATAATTGCTAGACCCGATATTAGTATAAAAAGGGTTCCTATCAAAATACAGTTAGTATAGCAACACTGTGGAAAGAATAACCTATCATTCAAAAAAAATCGTCCAAATCGGATAAGTGGTTTTGACAAAAACTTAACTTAAACTTTTGGTTATTTTTTTCTGGTGCGTTAATTTATTGCGGAAGTGTATTATGCAAATAGTGCTCAAACAATATAAAAAAGTTTTATGAGCCATCTGAAGAGAATAATAAATTTATTCCACTTATTTTTTCATCGGAATTAAACATATCCCTATTTGTTACAAACTTATTATTTAAATACACAAATTTATTCCAACATGAATATGGATAGAGGCAAATAACCCTAGGATAGATTTATAGTTTGTTTTGATATGGATATATTACATGATGCCCGGTGATATTATCCTAACGTTATCTAATGGACGCTATATAACATTATGCCCACAACTTTTTGTACATCAAAATAAACACAAAATATGGCTAGTAAATAGGTATAATATCGACTGTCATTTTCATATCGTAGATATGCTTTCGTATTTACATTAGTATTATAGTAAATAATATTATGGACAATATTAGATGAAAATTTTATCACAATATTACTGTAAATAATATTAAAATACTTATTTAATTATAAGAATAATTCTTATAATTTGTTCTTTTTCGCATTACGAATGTGATATCCAAACAGACTCAAAACATAATAGAAGAATAATTTTTTGAGAAAATGGAATACTGCGTTTAAATTTACGAACATTTTTAATTGTATCATGTTTGCTTAAGATGAGAATATGCACTCTAAATTTAAACAAATAAGTTTGAGGATATTCGTATATTCAATCTAAGACAAGTTTTTTTCTGTGTATATTCTGCACTTTGTGGCTCCTTTCAAAATCCCCATTCTTCATTAGTCATGTCTCCAGCAGCGGAGTCTGATTAATGGATCCATCATTCTATTAGTAAACTTTGTAACACGCTAGATGAAGTACACATCAGCTCTTTTGAAGGATTTCCATTATATATAGCCGTTCTTTCCGTTTAAAGTAAAGTCGGATTCATATTTTCTATATTTTTATAAACTTATTTCAGTGCTGTCTTTCAACATATATGTAGGAAAATTAATTGTTTTGACAGGCGAAAAAGGACATTTCTCTTCTGCATTCTTCTGTACATTCAGAGGCGTAACGAAGGCAGTTCTATTGGGTATTGATGCATTTACTAACTAATTTTGAATTAAAATAAGATCAGAATCATGTTACGAAAATATTACATTACGAAAATATTACATTACGAAAATATTTTTCTAATAAAATTGCTAGATAGAAAATTTCCCATAATATTTTGCATTTTTTTTTGGTAAAAATGAAATAATCATTTATAATAGCGAAACCTAGGAACATTTTTATTTTGTTGAGTAAATCATATTTATCTTTTTCATTTGAATCAGTAAGAACTAAGAGCGTCCTAAATATTTTTCCCTTGTAGTCAAAGCGAAGAACGAAAATAAATGGATATATTTTATCTGTACTTCGTATCATTTCTACTTTTCCTGCCACTTCGTTCAAAGAATGGAATATCGAAAGATATATTTTTTGCCTTTTCTTCGTTCTAGGACTTGGCAGCAATACCGCAAAAATAAATCTAGTTATTTCCCAAAATTGAAGTGTCTGAAACTGACATCGTCGTCTTTGTTTCATCTACATAATATAATCAAGATCTATTAAATTGGTATTTTCTTTTTCTTTATTTTAATAAGAATATGAATATATTGTAGTCTGTCCAAGAGAGGATAGTTGACGGTGACTGTTTTGTGTCTGTCATTTTAATTTATAGGTAAATTATATTTTTAGTCCATTTTTGGGATATCGTCTGTCAAAATCTTCCCTGACTTCCCTAAAATTTTTTAAGAGGCTCGTTAAAGGTTTTGTTAAAAAAGAATTTAATGTTGATTTATTAGCATAATAAAAAGAATATCTACCTTGTATCGTCTAAATTGTCTCTAAAAAACAAAACATTTTTCACTTCATGCAAAAGCAAGCGTTACATTAGAAACATATCAATTGTATAGCACAGTTTATCTTTCAAATGGAGATATATTTATATTAAATTTATCGTCCCCTGTCCCCCAACTAGAAAAAAATAATCAGTTTTATGTAATTTGTAACAAAATAAATTCACAAACAAAAATAATTTTAACAGGTACATTTCTTTAATACTTAAACCAGATAATAAAAGAGAAATAGCTACCTTTATTAGAAAAACATAAAAAATATTTGGTGTGTTCCAAAATTTCTCTTCAAATGAAAAGCTACCGAGATACAATTTTTCATGGATTCCCGAACCCAGTCAGGCTTTTAACTTTGGATTTGTTATCGAAATTCTTAGAAGATTGCAATAAAATTGTAGTTATTTGCTAGCTTATATTACGTGATGAGTAATGATATATAAAACAACCGCAGAGTTCCCAACTGGCAAAAGAGTACGACAGTGAGATACGATATTCCCAAAGCCGTTTAGAGCAACACTAGAGGAAATCTTCCATCAACTAGACTGGACCAACAAAGGATTAAAAATAGATTTATTATTAAGAATTTCTTAACCATCTAAGATTCGCTGATGACTGATAGTCCTTAATTGCCAATAGTCCTAAAAAACTACAAACACAAATTAAGCAACTAAATTCTGCCAGCAATAAAGTAGGTCTACTATCCTTTAATGTGTGAGGCAAAACTCAGGTCATTTATGTTCGTTGGTAATTGTTTAAATCAAAAAAAATAAGGACAAAGAAACTTTGGCATAACAGTTTTTTTGCATGTTTGATTTTTGTTTTATTTCAGTTCTTTATCTCTTAAGGAAAAGTTTTGTAAAAAATGAGTAATAAAAAGAATATATGTATTTCAGGGTTATTTAAATGTGTATTTATCTATAACCGTTTAGTTATAACGTTTTTACATCACAATTTTTTTAGTATTTCAGTTACGGTATGAGATTCATAACACAACTAGTGGTGTTATGAATCTATAACACAACTAGTTTTTATAATAATGAAAAACAACTACGAACATCTAAATATATTAATTTTTTATACAAATTCCTACTACTAATTATTATAAATATTAATAACACATTTTTTACACTTCTTCAAAACAATTCCTGCTGCTGATGATGATGACGATGATAATAGTGAAGGTCTAACTGAAATAGATTGGGCTGTTGATCGGTTTGGCTCGCACTCGGACTGGCATGCTTCCTCAGCGATTCTTTATCCCAAAATGTGCTGCGCAACAATTTTCTTGTTTTCTTTGCGACGAAACTACTTCTCCAACCTCCATGACGCTTAACCATTAGTAGATCTACCCCCGAGTCCGCCACCAATGAGACAGATGTGCGTCTAAAAGCGTGTCCTGTTCATTAAGGCATAAAAAACAAGCAATTTTTTTAGTAAAAAAATGTGACAAATGTCATAGTTAAAGGTGTTAAAGGTGGGCGACTAATAAACGAAAATTAAAACAGCATTTTCTTATTTTTCGGTTGTAGGTAAAACATTGTACATGACACGTGCGTTTAAACATGATTACTTTTATGATTACAACACTCGTGTGATTAGAACGACTCGGTCTACGACCTAGTCGTTCTAATCGTTCACACTCGTTGTTGTAATCATGTTCATAAACACACTTGTACTGTAAATAACTATATTATATATTGCAGGAAAGATTACCCACCTAACGGTTTGGGAATATTTATGATAAGGCCCGATCACTGCCAGTATCGATGTCCTGAACTTGACGCCTGCATCAATTCGACCGTTTGGTGTGACGGAAGAGAAGACTGCCCTTCTGGAGTCGACGAAGCCATAACGCACTGTTCAATTTTGCTTCAATTGCCGCCAGTATATTTGTTCTTTGGTTCGCTAGTAATCGTCATTTTCAGGTAAGAGTATTTTGTCTTAAAATTAGAATTGAAAGATTAAAAGAGTTGCGAAAACGCATTGTACTCTACAGAGCTTTTCACGGAACTGGTCCATTAAAAGTCATTTAGTAATTAATTGAGCATGAAGTTTTTATTACGGAAGATGGTTTCTGAAAAATATATCAAGTATTCTTACCCAATTAACCAGCTCAAAAAGGTCTAGTTTTTCTGGTTCATTTATGAATTATATGTCATTCAATTTCTTTTTTGTTGCAATAATAACTTAAAATATATGATGAGTTAACAGCTCATTTAGATATTTTTTTTCGACATTACTCCATTGAAAAGACGAATCAATTAAAACAAACAGTAATTTTAGACACATGTTTATACATTGTACAAACATAGAGATACATGTTTTTTTTTAATTTATAAGTTTGTTTGCTTAATGTCCGACCACCTTGTATACTAGGTTGTTATAATCACACTTATCATTTAATTTCGATTGTTTGTTATAAACTTATATTTATAAAATATTAAATAATATAAAATAATCGATAACAAACAGTTTTAACACTCGACATGCACAAGTCAAGTATGTAGGTACATATTTGATGTTGGCAGGTTTACTTACAGGGTGGCTTGGCTTCAATAGAAGATATGTGGTAAAAGTCCAGCTGTTTTGAAATACACTAACTGAACCTCAATTAAACATTTTTGGTTTGAACAATAAAAAGTTTTCAAATTCACTTCCTTTTTATTTGTATTTTTTTATTATTTTTATAGATCTTCGATATGTAATCGTCATGAAAGTCAATGATTTTTAATAACCAACGAGAATATTCGTATAATTAATAAAATTACTGTAAATCACTATAAATAATGAATTGTTTGTAATTGAGCTGTAATTTCTATATTAGTAATCCGGTAAATGATGGAGATAAACAATTGTGATTGATTAAAATTTTATTTTAAGATGAAACTTTTGTTAACAACATTCTCAAAATTCCAAAAATGAAAAGACAAGTGACATATGTCTAAAAAGACAGCGATTTAGAGTGATAATTTGGTTATGTAAAATTGCGAGTGGCAATTTTGATTATGCAAAAGAAATACATATTCCATGAGTTTACTGATTGCCTAACGATTAACATTAATTTAAAAATAAATTCCCAACATGAATAATGAACAAAACATATTTTTATCATAACAAACACAGACCACACAAAACAAGTTGTTGGTTAGTAGTAGTAGTCAGAGATAAAGATGTAGTAATATTTTGGTTTAATGGCCACAGCTATCCGACCGGCTAATCGAATTATCGTTTTTTAATAAAAATTAAAAAACATTATAAAATAAAGAGAATAGTATACGGCTTTATATTAACTCTTTTTTTACAGTTTATAAAAAGCATTCATAATAGTTATTTGTGTACCAAGGCCGTAAAGTTGATTGAGCATCACTGATAGAAACATTGGCGTAACTACAGGGGTGCCCGTGGGTGCCGCCCTCCCCCCCAGGTATTGCTGGGCACCCCCCATAGAAATCCTGAATTATGACTCTTGTCTACGTATTAATTTTTATTTGCTTGTGATTCAGTAAAAATTACGTTTTCTAGTTTTGTTTAGTTGATATTATTTTGTTGTGTTCAAAAAGGTGTTAATTTTATTTTTTTTAGAAAATTTGTAGGTATTTAAGTAATCTACGTTACCACGGTTTAATAACCAAGTAGATATATGAAATTTATTGATAGAGAAATACATATAAAACGTTTTATTCAAAAAATGTACTTTTTAAAATTATTTTTCATTCAAAAAAAAAACAAAAGCCCTAGCCCCCCCACTGAGCTCAATCCCGCCCTCCCCTCCCCCACGGATAGAAACGGGAAGCTTGTAAATAAATAGCCTAGCAACGGAACCTTTTCTTTTGTTTTATGGGTAAATAATCCAAACATGGCAATTAAGTGTGTCTAGTTGGCCGCCTTTATAATTTGACAATCTTAATGTCGGACGTGGAAATAACTCAAATAAGTAAATTAAATGTGTCAAGTAGGCTGCCCTTATAACGACTTTGTTTGCAAAAGCGGCCGTAAAGTAAAAAAGTGGCATAAAAGATACACTTTAGGGACGTTAATAGATCCGTAAAACTTCATTTTTGTGACACTCGCTTAAAAAAATATATATCCTTCAAATCCTTCAGTTTAATAGCTGTTAGTAAGAAGTTTCACCTCAAATATGTGCACATAGTGCACACACCATTTTTAATATATATTTATATTTATTAGTGATGTTAATATTTAAGAAATCTTGATTGTTGCAGAGGAAATTTCCGAAACTTTCGGAAATTTATGAAATATTAGGAAATTTTACAATTTTACATATTTTTTATTGATACAATAAAGGAATAAATTAGATAGACATTCGATACCAACATGTAAGTGAAAAAAAAACCATAAACATAATATTAGTTGTTATATTTTTAATAAACAATACATAACTCATAAAAGTCATAAACATAACCCATAACAAAAATCATTTGGTAACATTTGTATTTTGTACATAAACCACGAACTATGACTATGAATTAAAAAAAAACAAAAAAGCACGAAATATAAATTTAAAAAACGTAAAAGACAAATAACTGAATTATTCTATTCCGGAATATCAGGCGCCGAGCTGGTCCCATCTTCATAGGGTATTATAGTAGTAGTAGTACTGTCTTCGTCAATTTATATTTCCAAATTAGATATATTTGATGTATCATCTGGTTCTGATTTTGAAGGATGGACCTCTACCTCTACGAGTTCTAGTGGTTCTGGAGGAATTTCATGTTGTTGAATATCATGCTCCATATCTACTTTTTGTTTTTGTAGTAATAATTTATTGTTATGAGCTACAAACATTATTTTACCGGCTCTTTGTGCAGTTAAACGATTCTTTTTTTCAATATGGATAAAACTGTAAGTACTGAAACTTCTCTCTGTGGCTGCAGATGACGTTGGTAAAGACAGCAGAGCAACAGCTAAATATTTCAACCGAGTATTTTTACACATTGCTCGCCACCAACTTAGACAGTCTACATTTTTAACTGACATCCAAACGTAGCCGAAAGCACATAAACTCGATTTAGCGCAATAATTTGTTACATCTGTAAAAATGGCTTCTTTATTATTGACAAACTGAGGTTGATTGTTGGTGATATTGTTGTTAAATTCCATAGCGGCTATGTGTTCTTCATTGTAAGGTGCTCTCTCAGGAAACAGGGGTCCAAGAGATTCGCGGCAAAATGCATTGCTTTAAGAGCCATACGTTTTCTATTTTGTAAGGCGGAGAAGCATTCTTTTTCTTCTGATTTAAGAATCGGCATATTTAATACACTTTCGCTAAATTTTTGCTCGATGTCTTGAATTTTGAAAAGAAATTTCTTGCAAAATTCGGATTTTCGCGAATATTCGCGATTTTGGGACCGAATATTTCGGAAATTTCTGAAATTTCCTGCAAAATGCGAATGGAAATATTCGCTACCAACATCACTAATTTTTATCAATAAAGTATATTTAAAACATTTTAGTATACTTTTTGACTGACTTACTAGTTTCCTGTAGCTTAGATTAAGCATATGATTACACATTTTCTTTTACTTTCTTTTCAGTATTGGAGTGACGTTTGCGCTTTGGAAAACTTGCAGAAGAAGACCGAGATCGATTCTTCAAACTCGACTGCAGAGCTTATCTTCCGACACGGCCATCATCGACGAGAAAGGCGTCATCTGTAGCTGACACAGCGACAATTCTGTACGATACGTCGAGATCGATCGCGTCACAACGGTGTGACGGCTCACCAGTTTCCTTCGCGTATCGAACAGAATTGTTATTCAATAGATATATTTTTCAATATTTCTACATTAAGGATTTGTTGATTTCAAGCGATTATTCCGTCAACAATATCAAATTGAGATAGGGGAAACTAGTTGGTTGGCGGGTTTCGCTTGAGACAGAATCGAAATTATTTATTTAATAGACTTTTTGCTGCCGCTCTTTTATACCGTTTTGTAAATCTAGAGGTCCAGAAGTAATGGAAAAGTAAAAAGGTATATATTTGAAATAAAAAAATATTCCACATTGATCGATCAAATGCAGTTTAATTTTATGAAGTTATCATAAACTGGCTAAAATAACAAATAACGTTTTTTATATCTCATATGATCATCATTATTTTCAGCTTATTCAACCATTTCCAATTATGTTGTAACTTCCCTCACATGCTCTCTTTGTAGCTGGGCCCATTGTTTTCTATTGTTGGCTACGCGGGCCCAAGTTATACTTGCTAATTTCCTAATATCATGGTCCCATCTGAAGTTCGGTCTTCCTCTTTAATAAGTCTCTTAATTTCTCGTACATCCTGTAATTTTTGAGCTTCATCTGTTCGTTTTTTTTTGCCAAGTGTCCTGTCCATTACCATTTTAGTGATTTGACTCTTTGGATAACATTTATTACCTGAGTCTTTTGTCGTATCCACTCTGTTCTTTTACGGCCTCTCTTGGTTATTCCCAGCATATTTCGTCCCATTGAGCTCCTGCAGTTTCCTTATGATGTCCGTTTGAAGTGTCTAGGTTTCGCATGCATAGGTCATGACTGATAGTACACATTCGAATATTTTCTTCTTTGGATAGAATGGCATTCTAGATTGGAATATGATTGAGTTTCTTCCATGAGTACTCCATGCCAACTTAATTCTTCTGTTGATTTAGTTGGGAATAGAGATCCCGAGCTGTGTATTAGTTGTCCCAAATATAAGGGAAATTAAAATAACTTTCGTTGCACATCATAATACGACCACCAGGAAACTCCTTATCCTCCTGGGACCCAGCGTCCATTCAAATGGACATGTAGTATTATTATGACCGTTTCGTTAGTTTTATATTTAGGCGACTTAAACCTCGCATCCATTACGGTGGACATATGTGTGCTGCCACCTATTGCATTTCTGCGGAGTTTGTTTGCGCGCCAAGTCTGTGAATCACATGTATACTTTCTGTTAAGATGGCGGCTGCACATAGCTCTCGTTATGACGGTATGTATCATATTTTCGTATATTTATTGCTGTTTTTTGTGGGTATCCATACTTAATTACTGTTATTAGACAAAGTAAAATATAATTTTGATAATAAAATTGTCACACAACTTCTGCAATAACCTGAATTCATCCCGTCCATTTAATTGGACATTGGGCTTATCTCAGGAATATTTTTAATTTATTTAAAAAAATTGTTTTAGCAATTTTTGGCAGCAAACGCGTGCCGCAGGTTGGAGATGATGACAAAAAATTGGAACAAATTCTGGAATTAATTGGCGGCGAAGATTCTGACGTTCAGATATCAGATGATGAAAATGAAATTGAAGTCAGAGATAATTTAGTTGACAGAGAAGAGGAAGAAACAGTAAGTGAAGAACGGGTGACCAGTAGTGACGAGGAAGATGAGGACAATCTTCCTCTTAGTATCGTAAGAGACAATTTAATGGTCACAAAACCAGTTTCGGACTCGTTACACAGGCAGTTCTGAAAAAGAGATCGTTTTACATCTCTAAATTTTGAAGGTCCCTCTAGTGAAAATAGCTCGGTGTTACGCTCTGACTGGACTGCAGAAACATACCTTGCCATGTACTTTGATGATGAGTTTTTCCAAAAAGTGTGTGATTGCACCAATGCAAGATATGTTGAATTAAAAGGGATATCACTTAGATTGACGCTTAATGAAGTCAAACAGTTTTTTGGCATCGTTTGTTTAATGTCTTCTTTAAAATATCCCAGAATCAGAATGTACTGGGCAAAAACCACAAGGGTGGCAGCTATTGCAGATGTTATGACAAGAAATAGGTTTTTTTTTCTGTAAGAAGTAACTTAAAAGTTGTAGTTGATGGTAGTATCACACAAGAAGAACGGAAAAAGATAAATTTTGGAAAGTACGTCCTGTTTTAGAAAAAGTCAAGCAGGGATGTTTACAGTTACCAAGGGAAAAAGTAATAGCCGTTGATGAACAGATGATACCATTTACAGGAACCTGTCAAACGAAGTAGTTCGTTAGAGGAAAGCCAAATCCAGAGGGCTTAAAAAATTTTGTTGCTGCTGTTCCTGATGGACTTGTAGTCGATTTTGAATTGTATCAAGGGAAAAATAATTTTCCAGATGAAACAGTTAAAAGCCTTGGTGTTGGACCTTCTGCAGTCGTTCGCCTTACAAGGACACTATTTTCTGGAACTCATGTGTACTGCGATAGATATTTCACAACAATACCACTACTCGAATATCTGCATCAACAAGAATTGTATTGTACGGGAACGATCATGAAATCTCGTATCCCGGCAGCAGTACATTTAACTTCCGACAAAATGATGGCTAAAATAGGTCGAGGTAGTTCGGAACAAATAGTAAGACAAGATGGCAAAGTAGTGGTTGTACAATGGTACGATTTAAAATCTGTATTTTAGCTACTGGCCTAGGAAGGGAACCCACTGATGAGTGTGAAAGGTGGTCCAAGAAAGACTCAAAATACATTCAGGTTTCAAGACCTTACATCGTTGCTAAATACAATGATTGTATGGGAGGGATTGACCTGATAGATAGAATGATAAGCTATTACCGAATTCAGGCCAGATCAAAAAGATGAACTGTTAGAGTAATCCTACATTTATTTGATTTATCCATGGCAAATTCGTGGATTTTATACCGAAAGGATAAAAAAGTGTTTCAAACTTCTCCGCGAAAAATTAAACATTTTTTGGATTGGTTTGGTTTGGTTTGGTAAAGATCGAGATAGCCACTTATCTCTTGACAAATGAATGCAGCACTTTCCAAGATAACATGCGAGGTATAGGAACCAGAAGGAATCCTGAAGGTAATGTTATTATGGACTCACCATCAGCGCCAAAAAAACGAAAACAACATTTTCCAGAAATTGCCTCAGATTTGAAGAACTCGGTAAGATGCAAAAATCAAAATTTTTTTGTAATATGTATGACACATTCCTGTGTATAACTGGAAACAGAAATTGTTTTATTGAGTTTCATAAAAATATCGTTTAGTTTATATTTAATTTTTATAACATTACGTTTTTAAGCTTTAAACAACATTTAACTCGAAAATATAGTTATTTAGATTTTGCAAAATAGTGTTTTTTTTTTGTATAGTTTAAGACCCAATGTCCATTTTAATGGACGTCATGTATCTGAAAAACTAAAAATAAAAATAAAAAATGTTACTTGCAAAAAATGATTGGTTATGCATTTTCTATTAATAAATTTTAGAATAATAAAGTTCTAACTCATAAAAAACATGTCTGGGTCCCAGGAGGATATAAGACGACACATGATATCATTGATGACGTGCAACGAAAGTTGTTCCAATTTCTCTATTATTTCCAGTGTTGTGTTATTTATTAGAATGTCTTTTCTTTCCACCAGTTCGTTGTGCATTACTTTAGTTTTTGTTAAATTCATTTTGAAATCCACTTTATTGCTGGCTGTATTTAGTTCTTCAATTTGTGCTTGTAGTTCTTCATGACTATTGGCAACTAAGACTAAAAATTAGGACTATGTCCCATTATTGAACTGTAAACGTAAATGTCATTATATATATTACTCTTTTTTATATCCATTAGCCCTCTACACAATTAGCTATTATTTCTTACAAAAACTTTATTCAATATAATAATTTCATAAAAATAAGATTTTTGTTGGATCGTTTTAGAATTAGTTAGTGCACTTCTAAGTACTACTAAGGTTGTGCGTACTTCTAAGGTGGTACGATTATTACACAAACTGATACCTACACATTATACATACGTTAATAATTCTATCCATTATGAAGATTAAGAGTTTAAATTTTATTGCATTACTTGGAACCTAATTTTAAGGATTGTCACGTCATACATATAACTATTTCGGATTCGGGGAATAACTGTATTGATGTGTATTACAAGGGTATTACTTATCTATTGTATTATTTCTGTTGTTTTTATATAACTTAACTTCTTAAAATATAATAGTTTCGTAATCAAGCCTTTATATTATATTACACAGAATTTGATGTTTTACAAATTTGGCAGATAATTTATATGTGCATTTAAGAAATATAGCCAAAATTATCAAATTTCAATAACGACACAAGTATATACGAGGTTTTTGGAATAGAAATTTCATGATGAACACTCTGAATAACAACAATATACAACAATCAATGATTGACAATCTCAAATACAGAACCTGATATAATTTTTTTTTCAATAACAAGGGGCCGCACAGTGGGGTATTTGACACAGATAGTTGATCGAAATTCTTTTATGTAGACCTTATATAAATTATTGCTATTTTCAATTAAAAATGAAATAATATGAACAAAATAAAGGATAATTCGTCGATTCTAAAAAATAAAGAAAAATCACTGTTCCAGTGTTTCCACAGTCAATGCCACTAATGCCAGTAGTAATATCGCAACTAATACTACTAATGCTACGACTGATCCGCGAGCAATGCCCATACCACTAAAGTCGCTACTAATGCCAAATTGTGCTATACTGCTATGGCACTAATGCGATCGCTTTGTACACAACAATGCCATCGCGGTTTACACCTCGCATTAGTATATCACTGATTGGCAGATTAGAGGAAACCAAGAATGTTTTTCTCATTTTATCAGCAAAATCGCAAAAAGTCGCAGTATTTTATTTTACTGTATGAAAGCCGAATGTTTACTAAATAAAACGTATATAGACAATATGCTGAATTCTTCGAAATGCGCAACTAAATCTCTAAGTATAATAAAAGTGTCACAAATTTAATCAAATTTTCTGAACGCCTAACTTTTAGTTGCAAAAAAAGTTTGTATAGAGAATATCAAAATAAATAATAGGTTTTTGTATAATAGATACCTGCAGCTTGCTGAGCCATTTTCAATCAAAACAATAATATAAACGTAAAAAGAGCACAAGAACAACAACAATTTATAATTTTAAACATAAAATTTAGCCATTTACCTCTTATCTGTGAGAAGCAACAACTTTGACGTTTCGTTGAAACAAATGAATGCAACTAAACACACCCATAGCAACGCCATTCATGGCAGACATGATTTAACTTATCATTTATCTTTTTTTGGGAAATCTTAAACACATTTGCTTTTTCGAATTTCGATCACCTTTTTCATGCCAATACCCCACCGTGGGCCGTCTTCTACAGGAAACACTGCGACCTGTGAGGCCTATTGTCTTTGTCTCCTTTTTTCTGCACCCATTCTCCTATCCCTGTATCCTGCACTAACTTATGCATGTCCTT